AATATTGAGTCGAAAATAAACTTTTAAAATGATCGATGGATGGACTGGACTGGACTGGACTGGAGTGGAGTGCACTCGACTGGAGTGGGTTCTTGCATCATCATCATCAATCACCACCGCAATTGGGATAAAGTTTCAAGTTTACACCTTAATTCGCTGCATTTATTTTAATTTTTAATGTCATCACACACCTTGCCGCAAGTATCATCGGATCCTCTTTCAAAGGCCTTTGCGTCGGGAATCTATCCTTCAGGTCAGATTGTCGAATATGCCTCAGAAAAGTAAAAAATTTTCTTTTTACAAATAGCAATCGGTTTCGCATCACCAGCGAAGAGAAACGAGCTGCTGAAAGGCTCCAAGAGGACAGCTACAATGATGCGAGAAAAGCGGCAGAAGTCCACAGGCGCGTCAGGGCACACATTCAAAAGGTCATCAAGCCTGGCATTTCCATGATTGAGCTTTGCGAAACAATCGAAAATGGCACAAGAATACTTACGGAGGCCAGCGGGCTGAAGGCTGGAATTGCATTTCCCACAGGTTGCTCGCTTAATAATGTTGCTGCACATTATACGCCAAATGCTGGCGACAAGACCATCCTGAAGTTTGAGGATGTTTGCAAAATCGACTTTGGTGTCCATGTAAATGGAAGGATCATTGACTCTGCATTTACGCACACTTTTGATCCAAAGTACGACCCGCTAAAAGACGCCGTTCGCGCGGCCACCAACGCTGGCGTGAAAATGGCAGGAATTGATGCCAGACTATCTGAAATTGGAGCTGAAATCCAGGAGGTCATGGAATCTCATGAAATTTTGCTTAATGGAAAGACACATCCCATCAGAGTGGTAAGAAACTTATCCGGCCATGCCATTGAGCCATATCACGTGCACGGGAAAAAAAGCGTTCCATGCACTCGGAATCAAGAGCAGCGCCACGTCATGGAGGAGGGCGAAACATATGCAATCGAAACATTCGGCTCAACTGGCAAGGGGTATGTGCACGAAGATCTCGAATGTTCGCATTATATGAAAAATTACCAGAATCCGGCACCTCTTTCCAATATTCGTCTGCCTCGTGCAAAGCAGTTGCTTGCATCGATTAACAAGAACTTTGGGACCCTAGCCTTTTGCCGCCGCTATCTTGACAGAATTGGGGAAGAAAAATATACTCTGGCGTTGAAACATCTTTGTGAAACAGGCCATGTGTATGCATACCCACCACTTTGCGATGTTGTTGGATCTTACACTGCACAGTATGAGCATACCATACTATTGAGGCCCACTTGCAAGGAGGTGATTTCTCGCGGAGATGATTACTGAACCTTAATACAGAATTATTTAAAACCAGTCAGCTAGTTACAGCTAGCAATTTGGCTACAGCTAGCAATTTGGCTACAGCTAGCA